CAACGTCTATGAGATCTTTCGCAAAAAGTAACATACTTCGAAGAGTATCGTCACTTGTGTTCTGGGGCAATTTGCGCATGAGAATCGTAGGCATGGATTTAACGTCCGGGTTGCTAATAGTCGGTTCAAGCTCTCCGAACGAGAGCAATGACGAGGTGCTCTTCTCTAAAGGCTTCCGATCTCCAATTGAAGATAGAGTATACCCATATCCTAGCCCATTTGGACCTGATCCAAGAACGTCCGCTGTCATCGTCTGTTGCGGGGGGTAGGCGTGGTTTTGGGGGGAGGATGACGAAGAACTGAACGACCCGTGGAGGAAAGAACTGTTGGACAATCCAGGTGGTGACCCTTTACTCGGACTCGGCCCACCGGCCATTTCTTTGTTCGAGTTCCACTCTCGTGGTGGTAGTATCTAAGACAAAGGCACCGCGCGTGTGGTACCTTGGTGGATAAGCTTCCCAAGAGTCGCTGTCGCGTTGAGGAAGCGCACGATACAAGTGTTGAATTACTGCGGACCCTAGACTCTCAATCGCGAGAACCGGAGACTATGCAGGGTGGGAGGCTGAGGTAGATCGGTGCGGAAGGAATACCCAAAACGAGCGCCAAACGGGCTTCCAGGAGTTGAGAACCACGGACTCTAGGAATTGCGAAAGGTCAACACGGATGAAAAGGATATTGTACGCCTCGCGCGAAGGGTCCGGAGAATGGCGAAGAGGGCGGAGTGAGGTAAGTGAGGGTAGAACAAGTGAGTGTATGTATCGCGATGAGAAAAAAGACGGTCGGATAAGAGGTCACTGGCGTTGAAACCGGGCGCTAGATTGGAATTGAGAAAAAGGACGGGCGCATGCAGTTGGTGCAGCGCAGGTGATTGGAGTTTGCGCGGTCGACTTACAGGCAGAAAAGCCAATGAATGATTGCTGGGTGGTCTGTGACGGATGGTGTGCTGGAAAAAGGTGGTGGGCGCGCACTTGGGTTTCGCGCAAGACTGCAAGTGGTTGTAAGGTTTAGGTAGCCCTGGTCGACTCGAGGTTCGAGGAAAAGGGTAGGTAAACCTAAGGGTTGGCTCTTGCTTTCGGCAACGCGTGCTCGTGCCGACGCTTAGCGGTAGCTTAGAGCAACTCTTCAGCGATTGAATTGCGGCTCAGTACGGTTTTCAGACGATAAGACTCCTCCGAGTTTGTAAAAGAAGACTCGGGAGTGAAAGATGAGGGAGAAAAAAGCAATCGATTTGGGGAGGAATCGAGGCGCATCTGAGGTTCTCAACTTCTGAACGGGTCAAGGAAGTCGAAGGGTTTGTCGTGCAGCCAGTGAGAAGGTTGAACGGTGCTAAGCAGTTTTGAGGGAATACACAGCAACAATGGAGATAAGAAATCCAAAAAGTGTTTCCTTCTTTCTTGTTTTCCTTTAGCTCTTTACAATCTCGGCTTGACGTTGTAGTTGCTGCTGCATCCGCTACCCGTAAAAATATATGTATTTCATTGACGATACAGACGATAGATAGGGGTGCGGACGAGGTCTCTCTGTTGATGATCGATCAGAGGTGACCTTTTGGCTCTCTGTCCGTTAGATTAAGGGACCGGGGCTGGTACAGACACACAGCAAGATACAGGATTAGAGGAGTCAAGTAACAATCAATAGGAAGCAATGGGAAAATAGTTGGTAGAATTGGTGATGCCTGCAACTATGGGAATTTGCCAGTAAATGCAGCCGGTTGATGATCGAAAGCATCCAGAAGACTGCAACCAACAACCCATAATATAGTAATATAAGCCTGCGCGTCCTGGCGACTTATGCTTCTCTCTCTCCCTTGGTTAGTTAGAGGTACAGTAAGGTTAGCCATCTTTAGTCTTCCATATCATTGGGTTGCTCGTCCAATGCTCCTCTTTGTGGATTCCCAAAGCCCTCGTTGCCAGCTTCGGTGATAGGATTAAGGTAACGTGCGTATAACTGGGTGCAAGTATCATTCTTTGTTCTTGCGAACTGCTACTTTATTACCTTATCTTACTTTTCCTTCGGTCCGTTACGACAAAGTTGCAAGTTCCCTCATACCTACCATGGTTGACTGTAATGGTAGCACTAATAAGGTGGTTATTGATACTGCAGTCACTTGGAGGACTCGGGAGGGGGTTGGGTTGGGCTAAAGTTCAAACAGAGCAGTAAGGTAATAATGCGGGCATCAGCTTCCCTAGAACTAAAACATAGCGGCCTCTGATAAGCTCCTTTATCCATATCTAAGCCCAAAGTCTACCCCCCAGTGCTCCAGCACAGTACCCTCCAATACCCCCCGGCCAGTTGCCCGCACACGCCAATTTTCTTAAAACTTCCAGAACTTCCAACCCACAATCAGAACGTCGCTCCATACTCCGGCGCCTCTGTATCGCAAGTCGAACCGTCAGACATACGTGGCTTGCACTATCGGTAGGGATACACTTGGATACTCATGCGCAACAAGAGATAACCCCCGGCACCATCAGCTTTTCAAGACTTCAATAAATCAACACGCACCTAAGCATTTTCATATCTGCCAATAATCACTTTAACGCTTCAGACACCCAATCACATCTCAACGGAAAGAGGTATTTACTGCAACCTGTGGCATCGTTCCTTTGTCTTCGTATGGTACTTCACAGCCTTCGCGCAACGTTCCTAAATTCCCAAAAGTCCGCCCGCTTGCATGGTCTGTCTCACTCCGGTCCTATGTCCTTTTGACGCCCACTACTGGCTTAGTTCTACAGTATCCCCAGCAATCCGGCCCCCTCCATGACTGTATCATTCCTCTCCTGCTCCTCTCTCAACGCTTTAGTCGACCACTTACATTACACTAGTGATTCCGGTTTTCTGTCTTTGTTCTGCTCTGGCAACGAATCATCTTGCGTTGTGCACTCGTTGTACGCCGGCAATGATATCTTGCTGCCAACTATGTCTGCCCGAGGTCCGGGGAAGCTTCCCCTCGAGCGTTGAAAGGGCCGTTTAACAGGGCGTCCCCTAGCCGCAGAGGCCACTTGGGAGCAAATAAGCTCTTGAGTTGGCTTCACAAAAATATCACAGGTATGCGAACCATGGGTCAAAACATTGAAGATCATGAAGCTAGACAGGAGAAGGATAAAGAAATGTTTCCTTCCCAGAATATCACACCTCAAAAGGAGATGTTAGAGCTGACGAATCCTGGCTACTTTTTGACTGCTACAATAATCATCCCAGATTCAGTAATACAATCGTCTCACGTGAATTGAACGCCTTGGTCAGCTAGCAAGATAACTAAAGCTAGTTTCATTTTTTTTTTTTATTATTATTATCTACAAGTCTTTGTTTTCAAACTCAAATGTGGTTCATAGTCCGTCTACTCTGTGCAACTTTCAATAGGACCACTGCAGGCGTTTCGAAAATGGGAAACAAGCCGCTCAACTACCATTTAATTTATGTCTTTGCGTGTCTTTCAGGCCTTTCAGTCCTTCTCAAAGTCTTGCGTAAAAAATAAGGTCCTAAATCTGTCATCATAAGTCAAACCAGATTCTTTAAACGCCCGTTGAATTCATCACATCTGATCGGCCTTTGACCTATCGTACCTGGTATCTAATTGGTCCAACCCTATTGAAATATGATCGTCAGACGACTCAGATATAGTGTTACGAGCTTTCAGTGCTTTATTCTCAGCTATGTTTCTCGAAGCTAACATATCGATAGGAAACTTGATGTTACTCACAATTAACAAATCTGAAACTTTACAACCACGTGGTGCTACCTATGAATAATCCGACACCGTGCGATCACACATCTGATACCACGGCTAGACCTCCACAGGCACTTTTCCTAACCTCACGGGCGCGGTCCTATCAATTAGTTTCTGGTTCCGTCGTCATTACCGTAGAATTTGAGTAGAACTTTGTTATGCGCCCAGAGTGACCGCACCAGTTGAGATACCTCCGCGGTTCTCTACTATCGAGCGATCACACGGACGAACTATCGCATCTCCTTAGATTATTTGTTCCCGAAGTGCGTGGTGACAGCGTTTCTATCAAAAATAGGCGACGTCATGGTTTGTCCCACAAGGTCTAGAGCCAATTCGATAACATCAGTATCACAACCACGACGGACCCGTCTATTTCGTTCTGTTTATCAGCACATGCCTGCCCCGGCTCTCTTCCCGTAGGACCTCACGCGCTTGGGTAGGGAAATAGGTTGTCGTATGCAAAAGAGGTGCTCAGAGTGATCTCATGATGTGCAAAGAGTATCTCTGAAGTTGAATTATACCTTTTGATGTTTGTCTTGACAATCTACGGGCCATTCTCTCTACTGACTCATCTTCAAGAACAAACTCTGAAGCAAATGCAAACTCCAGTGTTCCTCCCTTCGCCTCTTCTAGAGGTTTGGGGATGATGATGCAGTGGCCCCGTAATCTATTCAGCAGTTTGATTCTTAGAGATTCTGCTCTTCACGGTTCATGCTCTATTACAGAACAGAGAGTAACTCCTGAACGTCCAGTGTTCCTCCCGTCGCCTCTTCTACAAGATTTGGGGATAAGGATGCAGTGTGCCAGTAATCTATTCAGCACTCTGGTTCTTAGAAATTCTGCTCCTCAAGTTCACGCGCCATTACAGAATTGAAAGTAACTAGACTTTTCCACGTCAGCTATTCAACCATTAGGTTTAAATAGTCAGTATATACAATAATCCAAAGAAACATCCAAACAACCCTATCAAACCCTTTAAGGGTGACAAAAACGTGAACCCTCTTCCTCATCTTGATACACACACAATAAGACATACCATACCACTCCCCCAAAGCCCAAAACCCGAATCTCCAATATAACCCCATCTCCCCATGACACCCCCCCCCCCCCCCCCCCCCCCCCCCCCCCCCGAACTAGTAGACCACCGGTTGGGTACCACCAAAGAATTATGTAACCCCGCACTGACATCGGGCCCCCACCACTAAAATCCCCATCGAGCACTACAACACTGAGATCAATTTGAAAACCCCGCCACCCCTCAACCTGTCAGGGTTGTGTAGTGTAGTGGTTATCACTCCGGATTTTGATCTTAAAGGAAAGCTTCCGGTAACCTGGGTTCGAGTCCCAGCACGACCTTTTGCGCTCTTTTATTTGCCTATGGTACTTTATTATTATCATTATCATTATTTTTTGCTTTGGGGGTGTTGGGGGTAGGGAGGCTTCTGAGGGGAAGAGATGAGGTATAGTGTGGGATTGTGGGATGTAGTGGGTATATTGTTTTGGAGATAGGGAGGATGTGTAATTTGGGTTGGAGTGGTGGGTCGGATGTTTGATAGTCGATTTATTATGTCCCTTTTGCATATAGGTCTGTAGGTATACTATTGTCAGGATTTCTCGATTCAATATAACGTTTACGAGAATGGCGTCTGTACTATCCAGATGGCAATCAAGCGGTTATGTGACTAGCACAGTATGCTGCGTTTGCGAATGAGCGGCAGAGATGCACGATATCTTAGAGTAGAGTCACTATGGCGGTATGTTAAGATCATTATGTAGGGAGTATCATGTATCCCATTGGATCACTTTATATTCATACATAGAGAGGATCCTGCACAGATATCGTGCAGACTTAGAACATCCGCTAGAGCACCACGGAGCATTTGTGCGGTATGATCTAAAGCACGTCTTAGGCGCAAAATTCATGTCGGGATATAGTGATATGACGATATTATATCTAGTTTGAGAGTTCTTGTAAACCAGAGCGGAGTGTTGCAAAATAAGAGAATGTATTCTTGTAATATGGAAGCGGGTGGATAAGGGAATGATGTGTGGGTGGAGTATTAAATGAAATCTGGAGGGGGGTTATGGGGGTGTTTTTCCAGTGAGTGATGTAGGCTCCTTGATCTCCTTTCGGTCTTAGGGAGGATATAGGACGAGGTTGAGACATAAGATTGTGCTGAGAGAAAGGTTGTACTGAGAAAAGAAAAGGTACTGGGAGAGATGGTGTTACTAAAAGACAAAATGGTACTGAAAGCGAAGATGGCACTGATGTCTAACAGAAAGGTGAATGTACTGATCAAGTTGTAGTCCTAGATTAGGTAAGTCAGAAGAACAAATTATATTTAATCTTACAAACTTACTTCAAGAACTCCTATATGGGTTCAATGAAGCGTAATTGTATCCCATTCCAACCCTTCAACTAGCGCCTCTCCCCACATTACACCGTGAATATAAGCCTCTCCGATCAAGATCATATGTCCATCCTCATTTTTCCTCAATATGAATGGCTTGGGCGCGCCTTTGAAGAGTACCCAATAATCGCCAACTTGAGTATCCAGGGGCACCCATCCCAGATGCCCCGAATCGCACCAACACAGATTATTACAGAGTCCATCTGGCCTATAATCGAATCTATATTGAAGTTGTGCTCCTCTGACGTCGGGGTCATCCGATAAATTGTTTGAGGTCATGTGACTGTCACTAACGCGATTGTCAAGATACAAGTTTCTGTAAACGTCCTGAGCCTTCTGCGTCCAAAGAAGCCCCTGAGGCGTTCCAGACGTACTAATATCGCAGATCATTAACCTCTAATAGACACCATCCATGTTCTCAACTAAGTATATATGATTTTTATCGAATACGAATGGTAGGACTTTTGCCAATGTTGTGCATCCAGGTTTGAGAAAGAGTATTTATCTTTTGGATCCCAGTCCCTGTCGCCCCTAGGGGGTATCATATCGTTAACCCTACCGCATAATCTGCCGTACATTCCCAACACGGAAATATCTTTTTCATGCCAGAATAAAGGAGGTTCAGTTCCCCCAGCAGTATATGGCTTCCACCCAAATCCCAGTATTCCTTGATTTACAAGAGAGTAATCTGGGATCCATGATGGTAGCGGCAAATGTGTGTTTTTCAAGTTCTTCTGTCCAGCAGCACGCAGTATATGAAAACCAGTATTAGGGGTAAGGGCAGAAATGGTCGCTTGAGTATAGACTGTTTCAACTCGAGCGGCGTAATCGATTGGTATTTGTTGCTGAAATTGTTCCTTAACAAGGCCGAGGAGCGAAAAGACCTTGTCCCGGGGATCTGTTGCCTTGGTATTTTCTCTCATCATAACTAAAAGGAGGCTAAGATCGCATCTTGCAACGGTACTAATTTGTTGTCGGGCGTAGGCATGTAAACTAGTATTGATACATGCGGTAGACAAGAAACCTCCTCTTCCCCTGGAAACTGGCCAAGCAGGATGGTTGAGGATACAATTTGCACCTTGAGCGAAGAGATTCCAGTGGGACTGAAAACGCCCATGATGCATAAGTAATTCGGAACTCATGGAAACTTCTTGCATGACCCATGCATGTTCAAACCATGGGCGGCTGAACAACGTAAAGAGAGGTATGGTAAGTGGACTTTTACTGGTTGAAGCATGAGGGGGCAAATCTGATTCATGTTTGGGTGCTTCCCTTAAGCTCATTGTTGAGTTATAGGATTCGGATGGACTGAGACTGCCGTCAGTCAATACGGATGTAAACAATGTTTTCTCGGCTGGGATGAAGCTAAGTATTCGTTTGATGACTTGTGTACTTTCCTTATCTATCGCTTCTTCAATATAATCTCGTTTAATTCCCTTTATTTTCTCGGCGATTGCTTCTTCAATTCTCTTTATTGCTTCAATTGGTGGCAGATCTGACGGGGACTCTTCACCAAGCCAGACAAATGTTCTTGATGCCTTTTGGAATATATCTCTCATGATCCCAACTTGTTGACTTCTCTCCGAAAGATTATGTTGATTGATGCAGATCGCGTCTGCCCATAGCTTTCTATCCCGGTCTTCTAGTCTAAAACGACGCAGAGCTCCGATTAGATTCGTAGTGATAGCCAGTCTGGAATCACCAACCGAAATCTCTTCCGCTATCTTGGCATCACCCCAAGTGTATGAGATAGCTTCATATTTCTCCAGATTGTCGAGTTGGGATACCGAGAGGGAACATGTTATCTCGTCATGGTACGATCCCGGATGAAGTGTGAGGATCCGGATGCTCTGAGAATTTGGAAGCTCCGTATATTGGAACAAATCCATGTCTACCCTCCCTGCAGATGACCCGAGAGAGCATACAGTACGCTAGCAGTACGTTGCGCGGAAAGGAGTATGGATTCGGCTGTACCATTCAAATGAAGTACTCACGTTTGTGGATCTTTTTAGGGGGGTGCTCAGTATAGTATTTTGTGTACAGTTATAGCCGCATATCGGCGGTTACTATAGTTGATTTTCTAGTTTAACGCCCAGGCTGGAGGCGCTCCTCGACTACCCCTTCCAACCGGGACAGGTACATCCTTTAGGACAACTGCAGGTAAGAAAAGTTGCAAATTGGAGACCCATAGACAAGGCTGATCGACACAATAGCCCCGCGCGCTTTGGTGCCATCTTTCATCTTTTGAGCTGCAGCAAAGACCGGTGAAAGGGTAATTCCAGTTCTGATAATTGGCCCACGCATAGGCTGAGAACTGTTCGTTTGGGAATACTGCATGATGGTCTGGATGGAGCGTAAAGTTTTCGGCCTTGCGTCTTGAACGAGGTGCAGCTCACAGACCTACGCGAAGCCGGAGATAGATTCTGCATACCGGATTGTACAATGAGATGCCGACGAGAATGCATTGAATAGAAATATCATATAGGTATGTTGACATTTGGATAATTCTTACTTCTCTAGTTTTGCAAGGACAAGTTATACGCACCTCCTACAGTCCAACCTCAACTCACACATTTTTTTACCTTAGGTGCAAGGACTAGCAGACGCCAGTGTCGTCTTGTTAGACCAACTCAGATGAGAGACGATGAGGATAACGAAGCTTGCCCATTCACCAAGGCCAAAAACTTCCCCGGAGAACACTCAATGTTTGTTGCTCTTTGTCAAATGACATCTCCTAAATGTACAATTACGCAAAAGTGTAGCGGAAAAAGGAATCATGCGGTTTTAGAGGTATTGTTGAGACCATGTTACCTAAGATTCATGATATAGTGTTATGGGAAGATTCGTGTTTATATCGTTTGTGACTAAGCCATGGGGGCTGGGTGTATCCGGTGACTATTATCTGAAAAAAATCCACGCACCATTGATCTTTCACTATATTGAGGCTACCGATTAACTCCGGTACCTATCTTGGTGGTGGCCTGCTTTGATATTAGTACCACCTTAGAACCATTTAGAGAATACCAGAAAGACATACAACAAAACCATATATCCCCTTCACAAGAGTGTAGACACTTGATCATTGTTTAGGTTGCAATAACACTCTCTCGTCAATACCAGCTTAGTATTTCCACCAAGAACGGATGTATTATGTATCCTTCGAGTCTGTCTAGAAATCCTGAATGCCCGTCTCGCCAGTGAGTTTGGACTTTTCTCCTGAGGTGCCAGGCTCTTCAAGCACCCATTCGGGCTCTTCCTGCTCGAAGTATCTTTCTTCCTCTTCCCTTATCTCTTCATCTCGATCATCAAATTCCTCACTCTCGTCGACGCCCTTGTAATCAAAGTCATCGTCATCGCCTCTTATAAAACGCATAGTCATCTCGTAAAGCCATCTCTCCTTACCCTCTTCCTTGGTCTTAGGTGCATCTTCAGGGTGCTCATCTATGGTGTTTGCAATGGAGGGTTTTCGACGAACTTTGCATGCAGTAGAAGACTTCTCTTTGGAAGCATCGAGCCTGGCCTCAGATCGAAGGAGATCGGCCTCGAGGATGCCGGAAAAGCCCTTCGAACGGCGTTCCGCTTCGCGTTCGGCGGGAGTTTGAAAACGACGAATTAATCGATCATATAGGAGGGGATCTAAGAGATTTAGAGGGATAATGAACTTGATGGTCGCGTGAAAGTTCACCTGCAAGCTCAAGAGCCGTTTCAAAGTATTCGGGATGAGTATCTAAGTATCTCTTCCTCCGATTTTTGGCACGGATCCGTTGAAACTGTTCTAGATCGGTATTATTATTTTCAGAAGATGTTCGCGTATTATCTGGTGTCATATTCAAGATAGGGCATGAAGCTTCGCTCTTCTGCGAGATGTGGACGTTGTGTTTCCAGCAGTATCATGGCATAGGCTGCTGGTGGGATTAAGAGCTTGTCACGCCCGTCACGGATGAA